AATTTTTATTCATTTATCGATGTTTTGGGGCTGCAGCTGCTGAAATACTACACTTGTTTATTTTATATAGTGTAGCCTTTCTAATTCCTGTTACTGTTATTGTTTATCGTGACTCTAGAAGACTCTAGAAACATTTTTATAGGGGTTTTAAATCATATCTCGTGTTTTTTTTAACCAATATTTGCTGCAGTTTGTCTGTGTTTAATGCCTTCTACCTGTTTGTTTCCTTCTAACAGCACGGCACAATCATTTGGTGCCTGTATTCTGACCGCTTCACTTTAAGTTGAGCGACGGTCGGGGAGTTTAGTGTTTGAGAGCGTGCTCGTAGTTTATCATTACCCTAAAAGCTGTGTGACAGAGGCGGCCATGAATCCACAACTTAAGAGGAGCCGAGACAATGGTGTCATAACAGCTTACGAGGTTATTAACCAGCATACATTAGGCAAAGGGCCGAGCTGTTTTTCAAACTTCCAATGTTGGTAACTGGTATTGTTAAATACATTTTCTCACGTTTGTAGACATTTTTTATATCAGTTTTGTTGCATCCCCGTGTTGTACATCAATCTGTGTATTGAAAAAAAATGTAATTTGTGTTAGAACAGTGTTTGTACTGCAGTGGCTGTATCATGTCAGGGTGATGGACACGTGCGTGCTCGCTAAAAGCCTCTGCCAGCGAGCGTGTGCCTTTGAATGCATTTGAATGATGACCCCAGTTTTCCAGAATAAGCCAGCTGGTAGCATGCGACACTGGTTGACCCGAGATTAAGCCACGTAAATTATGACGTTACATGTTTATACAAGTGGGGTAGAGGGTGTTGCTTGTTCAGATAACCTGAACGCAGTCATAAAGCCCGACAGGTTGTGTGTTCTCCTCAAACTGCTTCGCACACACACACACACACACTGTAGTACTCCACCTCAGCGAGGCCTGACAATGTTATATTAACCTTAACCTTATCACTGAGCTAACAGTCGCCCAGAGAAACCGGCTTTACAGGCACGAACGAGGCGAAGTAAAACCTGTATTAATGTAACAAGTTTACAGCTGCTCCCTGAAGGTGCGCTGCTAGATGGAGGCAGATGTCGACAAGACAGACGGAGAGAATCGCAATGAGCTTGACAATGAGAGTTGTTACTCGGGGCTGGAAAACTCAAGGTCAGCGTAGATGCACACTCACAGGTTCAGAGACACCCGGAGGATGTTTAGCTTTCATTTTTTTGTGTGTGTGTGGTTTTTTTTGTGTCTGATGATAGATTGAGTGTTTGTGGGTTCATGCCAGCCAGGCTAATAGGAAGGCTAATGTTTTTCTCCGACCGTTCTGCTATCACTCCGTCTCTCTGTTTATCTTTCTGCCTAAGTGGACGGGATCTAACCATTGTCAGACAGATGTTTCATGTGTTTTTTCCTTGTCTCTTGCTGTAGCTTGGATACAGTGAGCAGCGCCGTGTGTTTATTTCATGTTTTCAAGGCTGCTGCGAATTCTCTGCCAACACTCCTGCACATGGGCACACACAGTCACATCCTCGGTCCTCTGCAGCGCCAATAAGTCCTCAGGATTATTTAATGACACGTGCAACACCTCGCTTTACCCCCAGTGACCTGATACCAGTTGTTTGGTTTAGTCTGCATGAGCTGGTTTTAAAAAAGCATGAATTTTCCTGCTAGGCCAGTTAATTTCCTCCAAGAAAGAAAGAAAGGAGAAGTAGTTGTTGTAAGTTATTACACTCAATGCCAGGAATATATGATGAAGCATAACAGAAGCAAAAGTAGTACAAGTAAACACTAAAGTGTCGTGTAAATATTAGGATTAAGAAAATCTGACTTTCGGATTAAAAGGTTTGTTAAAGTTGAACGTTACACAAAAACAACAAGCTGGAAATGGTTTGTCTGCTTCAAGACTTTGTGTTCAATCTGAATGACCTTCATGCTTTATAATTATGTCACATGCAAGACAAACGTACATTCTTAACATGACTGTGAACAAATGTTAGCATTTAGCTCAGAGCTAATTCCACCATACTGACTGTGTTGTGCTCTCACCCTCTTCGAAAAACGCTTGGATTATTTAGCTAAAACTTAAAAACTAGTGCTAGCATATACATTACTAACATGTCCAGGTCAAAATTTTACAAATTCGTTTGAATAAATTCCTTAAAAATCCCCATTTTTGCCACAACTTCTCTCAACTTCCTGAGAGATTTCATATTCATTTGAGTCGTAATTTCAGAAATCTAATTAAAGCTGCAAGCAGCGTTTGTCTGGTCCTCGGTCCGCGCTGTGACCGCATTCCTGTCTGACCGTTCTTCAAGTTAAACCTGCTTTAACCCTAGAACGCTAAAATTAGTAACACCATCACTAACACCGGGTATATTTTACCCGATATAATAATCTGGATAAAATGTAGTTTTCATTGATTTATGTCAAAGTACAACACTGTATGACAAATTGTAGTACTCTTCTTTAATTTCCTAATATAGAATATCACTTTTTTTTTTTTTTTTAAAAAAGGTACCATGGGGGACCCTATAAAAAGGCAGCAAAATTATTGAAAAATCAGGTAATCCTTAACGAGAAATTTCCAGACAGAAAAAATAATGGAGCTGGGAACTTGTTCTTTGGTCCAGCCATTCCTGGGACATGTGAGCCTTGTCTGGTGAAGGTACAGTCTTCCTGCATCACTGACAACTGTGGCAGAGATTGATGAAAAATTGCATTTTTTCAGAGGGGAAAAATGACCAAATTTCTTTGACTACATGAATTTTCTTGGACAGACTCCATACCAGAACCAAACTGAGCCTTCACCAGACACGGCTCACATGTCCCAGTCCTACAATTTGTCATACAGTGTTATACTTTTACATAAATTGATGAAAACTATATTTTATCCGGAATATTATATCGGGTAAAATATACCCGGCGTTAGTGATGGTGTTACTAATTTTAACGTTAGTGTGCTCAGTCAGGAATTTCACTGATTTTCTGGACATTTCTTTTTTTTCCTCTCTCTGAGTGCTACAACTTCACTTGTAGCTAGCTATAGCTAAAAGCTTAGCTTTAGTAGAAAAAA